GATGAGACTATTGTCATAATCCAGATTTGTCAGCTTAATTTCAAGAGTTCTGCACGTTTTTTTTTGTTATTTTACTTACTCTCCAAGTTTGAATAAGTCCAGCTAGTTGTTCCCTGTTTTCATGCATACAGGGGTAGTTTATTTCCTTTTTGTTAGGCAGTCAATTTTTCTTTTAGTTTAAATACAAGGCAAAAGTGTACGTGTGATGTGTGTTCTCTTTTCCAAGTAAGTGAAATAAAAGTGCAGCCTTTTGCCACTGTGTTTTGTGAGTTACTTTCTCTATCCTAGTTTTTTTGTTCACTGTGATACACTTATCCTGTCCCCTGCTCTTTGTTTCTGTGAAAAGTCACTATCACTTCTTAAAGAAGCCAACATTTGGTATCAGAGCACAACCTGGTGCATGCCCAAATACCAACCCCGTGAGAGAGAGAGAGATGACAGGAAACAACCACAACGAGAAGGAGGGGCAGATCACACTCCACTATCCTATGCTGTCAAGAACCAATTATGCTGCCTGGGCTATAAAAATGAATGTCTTCATGCAGGCTCAAGGAGTATGGGATGCAGTTGAGCCCAGAACAGCAAACACAGTGGTTGAAGTGAAGAAAGACAAGATGGCTTTGGCAGCCATCTACCAAGGCATCCCAGAAGACATGTTGTTGTCTTTGGCTGAGAAGCAAACAACAAAGGAATCGTGGGATGCATTGAAGACAAGGTTTCTTGGGGCAGATAGAGTGAAGATAGCAAGAATACAAACTCTTAAGGCAGAGTTTGAATCTTTGAGCATGAAAGATACGAAGGTAGTAGATGAATTCGCTATAAAAGTGACTAACATCGTGAGAAACATTCGTACATTGGGCGAAACAGTTGAAGAGTCGTATGTGGTGAAGAAATTACTACGGGCAATGCCATCTAAATTCCTGCAGATTGCTTCAACTCTTGAGCAGTTTGGTGATTTAGATGAGATGACAGTTGAGGAAGTGATAGGAAGGTTAAAGGCCCATGAAGAAAGAATGCGGGGTCAAGGTGAAACTGATGACAAGAAGCTCCTCTTGACTCATCAAGAATGGACTGAAAGAAGTAAGAAGAAGAAAGAAGAGGACTCCAAATCAAACCCCAAAGGGAACCGTGGTGCAGGCTCACGAGGACGGGGTAGAGGTCGAGGCAGAGGTGGTAATCAAGGTGGACGCGGTGGTCGTGGCAGAGGTAACTATCCTCACCAAAAGAATGGAAACAATGGTGGGTCCAGCAGTCAAGACAAGAGTAGTGTACAATGCTACAATTGTCAAGACTATGGACATTATGGGGCAGAATGTAAGAATCCAAGAAAAGAACGAAATCAAGTGAATAACTTGATACAAGAACAGTTTGACAACGAACCAACACTATTGTTGGCATCTTTTGATGCAACTTTAGAAGATGGTGAAGTGTTCTTGAATGAAGAAAACTTAAACCCACCATTGAAGACAAAAGGAGATACAGTGAGGCACTCAAATATGTGGTATTTGGATACAGGGGCCAGCAACCACATGACAGGTGACAAGTACAAGTTTAGAAATTTAAACAAAACGATTCAAGGTTATGTGAAGTTTGGGAATGAAGCTAGAGTGAGGATTGAAGGGAAAGGCTCAATTATTTTCCAGTGCAAAAATGGAGAACATCGCAAGTTGGATGAGGTTTATTATATCCCAGACTTATGTAGCAACATAATAAGTCTGGGACAGTTGGCTGAAGGTGGGGATGAAATCAGAATAAAGGATCCGTTTTTATGGGTTCATGACACTTTTGGAAGGTTGTTGATGAGGGTCCAGAGATCTTCGAATCGGCTCTACAAGATTGAATTAGAAGAAGTGAAGTCAACGTGCCTAGTTGCTGAAATCAGTGAACCCTCATGGCTTTGGCATGCTAGGACGGGCCATGTGAATTTTCATTCCCTAAAACTCATGTCCGATAAGGAGTTAGTTGAAGGTATGCCAAAGATACTCATCCTAAATCAGCCATGTGAAGGTTTTCTAGTAGGAAAGCAGTCGCGAAACTCCTACCCTTCACAAGCAAACTACAGGGCAAAGAAAAGATTGGAGCTTGTCCATGGTGACTTGTGTGGACCGGTCTCACCTCCTACACCCGTTGGAAATAGGTACTTTATGCTGCTTGTAGATGATTACAGTAGAGTGATGTGGGTCTACTTAATGAAAACAAAAGATGAAGCTTTTCAAGTTTTTAAGAACTTCAGGGCTAAAGTAGTGATCGAAACAGGGGAGAAGATAAAGGTTCTTAGAACTGATCGTGGTGGTGAGTTTCTTTCAAATCAGTTCACTTGATACTGTAATGAAACAGGCCTGGATCGCCATTACACTGCACCATACTCTCCATAACAAAATGGGGTTGTGGAGAGGCGAAATCGAACTGTCTTGGAGATGGTTAGAAGTAGCTTAAAATTCATGAAGGTGCCTGATGTTTTGTGGGGAGAGGCAGTAAGTCACGCTGTGTATGTTCTAAATAGAGTTTACACAAAAGCTGTTAAGGATACTACACCGTATGAAGTATGGACGGGTAGAAAGCCACAGGTAGAGCATCTTAGGGTGTTTGGGTGTCTTGGGCATATGAGGGTGCCTAAGAATTACTTGAAGAAATTAGAAGATAGAAGTATGAAAGTTGTTCATCTTGGAGTAGAAAAAGGGATGAAGGCATATAGAGTTTTGGATCCAGACACAGGATTAATATATGTGAGCAGGAACGTGTGCTTTGAAGAAAATAAAAGCTGGCCATGGGAGACAGCAAGAAAGATAAGAGATGTTCCAGGAATGGTGTTCACAGTGGATGGGTACAGCGAAGATTCCTTTGAAATAGAGGGATCAATACCTAATATGCCTAATGAGTCAAACGTTGATCCTTATCAAGATAGTCCAACATTAACTGAAAGTGGGCCATTTAATGAAGACATGTCACAGCCCTTTAATACTCCTGTACAACCCATTACTCCTCAATTGGAATCACCCACAAGCCCACAAGGCATGCCTCAACAGGTCGTATCGTCTCCACACACCCCAACGTCGTCAATTGGGTCATCAAGCTCAGTCTCAAGCTCCACGGGTGGAGGCGCTCCCAAAAGGTATCGACTTTTCAAACAAGTAGAATGGGTTGAGGCTATGAAATCAGAGCTCGATTCAATTGAAAGAAACAAGACATGGGATTTGGTCGAGCTTCCTAAAGATCGAAAGGCTATAGGGCTGAAGTGGGTTTTCAAAGTGAAGAAGGATCCAAAAGGAAAGATAGTGAAGCATAAGGCGAGATTGGTAGCAAGAGGGTATGTCCAAAAACCGGGGATAGACTATGACGAAGTCTTTGCACCCGTAGCTAGACTAGAAACAGTACGAGTAATACTTGCTCTCGCAGGAACAAACGGGTGGCTCGTGCACCATCTAGATGTGAAATCGGCCTTTCTGAATGGGAACTTAGAGCAAGAAGTTTACGTATCTCAACCAGAGGGATTTGAGAAGAAAGGCCAGCTAAACAAAGTGCGTAAACTCAAGAAAGCTCTCTATGGGCTGAAGCAAGCGCCTAGAGCTTGGAATGCTTGCTTAGACAGATACTTGAAAATTTTGGAATTTGCAAGGTGCTCCCAAGAATACTCTGTGTACACTCGGAACAAAGCAGGTAAAGTCTTAATTGTGGCTGTGTATGTAGATGACCTGCTTGTGACAGGAAATTGCAATGAGGAGATCAAAATCTTCAAGGACCAAATGAATAAGAAGTTTGAGATGAATGATCTGGGGTTCTTAACCTATTATTTGGGAATAGAGGTGAGTCAACATGAAGGAGGAATCACGTTGAAACAAGAGGCCTATGCAAAGAATATCCTAGCAAAGACCAACATGGCTAACTGCAACCCCACCAAATGCCCTATGGAACATAAGACACAACTGACCAAAGATGAAGGCGGAGAGTTGGTAAATCCAACTGAGTATAGAAGAATCGTGGGAAGCTTGAGGTACTTAACCAATACCCATCCAGATTTGTCCTTTGCAGTAGGTGTGGTTAGTCGATTCATGGAGAGACCAACCACAAAGCACCTCCAAGCTGTGAAAGGAATTCTCAGATATGTGAATGGTACCCTGGATTATAGCTTAGCTTACTCCAAAGGGAAGGATGAAAACAAGATTTCTGGTTACTCTGACAGTGATTTGGCAATGGATGTGAATGATCAAAGAAGTACAAGTGGTATGGCATTTTACATCAATGAAAACCTTGTCTCATGGGCATCTCAGAAACAGCGATGTGTGGCTCTATCCTCATGTGAAGCGGAGTTCATGGCTGCCACATCGGCAACCTGTCAAGCAATATGGATGCGCCGCCTTCTTGCAGAGATAACCAGAAAACCAGTAGCTCCTGCAACTTTACATGTTGACAATAAGTCATCTTTGGATCTCATGAAGAATCCTGTGTTTCACGGTCGTAGTAAACACATTGATACAAAATTTCACTTTATAAGAGAGTGTGTGGAGAATGGAGAAGTGAGGGTAACCCATGTTTGCAGTAAAGAACAAAGAGCTGATATCCTCACAAAAACAATGGCACATGTGAAGCATAAGGAAATGCGGGAGCTGATTGGAGTCAAACAGGTACCAAACTCTGGATTAGGAGGGAGAATATTATCATAATCCAGATTTGTCAGCTTAATTTCAAGAGTTCTGCACGTTTTTTTTGTTATTTTACTTAGTCTCCAAGTTTGAATAAGTCCAGCTAGTTGTTCCCTGTTTTCATGCATACAAGGGTAGTTTGTTTCCTTTTTGTTAGGCAGTCAATTTTTCTTTTAGTTTAAATACAAGGCAAAAGTGTACGTGTGATGTGTGTTCTCTTTTCCAAGTAAGTGAAATAAAAGTGCAGCCTTTTGCCACTGTGTTTTGTGAGTTACTTTTTCTATCCTAGTTTTTTTGTTCACTGTGATACACTTATCCTGTCCCCTACTCTTTGTTTCTGTGAAAAGTCACTATCACTTCTTAAAGAAGCCAACAGAGACAAACCTCGTATTTTTTAGAGGAGAGACTATCGATCCATTTTTTGTAAAGATGGATGTTTTCATCAGGTTCAAGAATTGCTTGTATCTGCTTGCTTAAAAATGATTGAAGCCTCATGGAGGGTGCCATGGCAGCAAGGGCATAAGCAGAAAGCTTAGTTTTCTCAAATGGAGTTGCGAGCTTACCAGGGAATCTCTCTCCTACTGCTTTTCTAGATGTTGTTTCTAGCAAGTAATCTATACATTTGATCAATACACGATCTGAAATATTCCCCATTGGAAGTTCAAATCCCCATTCTTGCATTCATACGTACTAATCAAACCTAAATTCATCAAATTATAACTTTTTATACTGTTGATATTTTAGACTATAGACATTGGAATTCAAATGCCTACTTGGACAATTGACCAAAACATTGTCATCTTCTTCAACACCCATTTTTTGATTTTACAGATTATGGTTTTATCGTCATCTTCATCTGAGCATTCTTCTACCATCCCTAAACTAAAAAGCCATCAATTCAAAACATGCAATTACATATGTAAGAAGAAGATCAATACACGACTTATATATAGGAATGATCTACCAAACTTACGCCTTAGCAGAAGCTTGAAGAAAATGAAGATCCTGAGAGATACAATGGAGGAAAGAGCCAGAATGCAACTTCCCAGATGCTAGTGACAATATATAAGGAGTATAAATTGTGAATACAGATTCATTTGTTGATTGTTATAGATACCTGAAAGCCCCATGCAGCCATACCCTAATCTTGAGACCTGTAGAAAAGGAAAATGAGGTTGAATGTTTAACAGATCCATATCTAATTTGCATTTTATAACAATCTATTCTATACCTAATCATACAACTTTTTGTCCCAGAATTCAACCACCTAATGTATCAAACCCCCCAAATTGGAAGTAGAATATAAACCTACATAGAATTGAAGTGATGATTTACGGAGAAAAGTTTTAACAAAAAAGGTAATCGTATCACATACATACACATATGAATCTAATTACTCCATAGAAGGCTAAATAATTACTGTATATTCTTTCAGACACATCGAGAAGTCCATTGAGCGAATTCTTATAAAACAATTTCTGTAACAACGCCATTCAAATTAACCGAATCTAGAAATCCTAAAAACAAATTTAAAAATCCGCCGACAGCCCCACCTCTGTAAAACAAATATATATGCACGATGTTTTGGCGAGGCTGATGTCTGGAATAAATTCGTCATCCATGGGAGGCGCTGGAGTGAAGTCTGATGATCGATTGCATGAGAACCGATGGAAGTGGTGGAATAAGAAGTTATGCATTGGTTTGAAGGAGAACCAAGGTTCGACATACGAACTGCAAAGTAGGAAGCGGGGAAGTGGGTATACATGAGAACGAAACACAACAACTCGGTCAGAAGGTATTTTTCCTTGGACCAAATCGACACAAAAATGGGGACTAGATCCTTGATTTGGACCGAGTCCAAAGGTGTAGAAAGGAAAACAAACAAGATGAGTTTGGATTGAGGACTGGGTCCTAACTTCAAACTCAGTTAGAAAGAAAATCAAATGGCCCCTTAGTGGAAATGGGGATGAAGAAGAAGAAAATGTGTAGTTCATTGTATATGATTGCGTGGCATATGATGTTGATGGATATCGTTAAGGATCTCCTAATGTTGGAAGAGGTATCCATTACTGATTCAGGGAGAAGAGGGAGGCTTTCTCTGAGTGGGGAAAAGCTCATTAAGGTGAAGGAATGGGTAAACTCGGCCAAGAAGTAAGCCTGAAGTGAGATCGTTGATTGTTGCAGAAGTGAGATCGTCGATTGTTGTAGAGGCCTGGGAGAACCGATCGAGAATCGGAGAGCTTTCTGATTTTTTTTTGAAAAATCCCTAGGTAGAATGGTTCTTGAAAAATCCCTAGGAACGAGTGAATGAAGGGAGATACCGAGGAGAGATTGAAGAAGCGGGCACTTTAAAATTTTAGAATCAGAGGATTTCATTTTTGCCCTTTAAAAACGCGTGTTTAATAAAAAAAATAAAGAGACATTTCTAGAGGACACGCATTCAAAACAAGTTTCCTCCGTGTTTGTATTTCTTTTTGTATTGGACATTATTTTTAAGGCATGCAAAAACGCGTGTCTTCAATCCTTCAAATTTTGGAAGGCTGACATTATTTTTAAGGACACATAGAAATGCGTATCGTAAATCAGCGAGTGTCATTGTTTGCGCATCATTAAAGGGTATTTTTCTTGTAGTGTTGGGATAACATACCTTTTGATGGAGCTTGAAGTGTTGATGTATTTCACCTTAAGAACTTAGCCCCAATAGTGTGGAAGCCTCAAATGGAATCACAACACACCATGGACAAAGGTGGACATTTGAGAGAGAATCTTCATACGCCAAAACACCTCCATATTTCTCTATGAAAAGAAGTGGTGATTTTGGCTATGGAGTAACCTATTTATATGTAGGATTCCAAGGGTCATGGGTATAACCCAAATTCATACCCATGGGTTTTATGATCCATGGTTCATGTGGCCCAACTCTTTATGTATCCATACATAAACTTAGTCCAACATGGATCATAAGCCCAATACATATAAATATAACGAATTACCATAATTAGTCCCATAGATTTAATTAGTCTCTTTTGATCACTAAATTAATTCCAAATTAATTCTTGATCAATAGTAATTAAAACATATGATTTCATATTAATACATTATAACTTATAATATATTAGTAAACCATAAATTACCTTCTCTCAAAAGTCCATCCTAACAAATTGTACTGATGATATCCAACCTAAATGGACCATGCTACTCTCGGGTCAAGTACATACCAATAATAGTTATGGTCTTAGACATCTAATCCAACAGTCTCCCACTTGGATAAGTCTAAAACTATTATTGCAAGTACGACTTCATAACCTGACTAGCAATCATAGCTCTTAAACCCGTTGTCGAACTCTGAACAAATCAATGACGCGTCCATTAGATAAGTGATCAGAAATTCCTCCATTCTAGATATCATATGGACTGAGGCATGGATTATAATCATTTTGTGCATTTGTTGTTTCCCAATTTCTGATTTATGACGACCGACTAATTGAACAAATCAAATCAGTCCAGGCTTGGCCAAGGACTTAGGGGTCTCATCACAAAATCATCGAGGGGCCCACATATATCACTTTTATCCCGAAAGAAAAAGGAATGGATAAATTTCGACTCATATGGCTTGTTCTACTACTTGTTGAATCATACACAAAGGCACGTTTTATAACATCGAGTTACCGAATGCATTTTCGTGCAATCAATGTATAACCAACTCATAGTAACAACTCATATCTCTAGGTTGGAAGAATATAAGATATTATCATCTCATGACTCACTCGTGATAAAATCCATGAAGTGACTCAAATTAGCGTGGGTTTAATCCAATACTTGAGTCTTATTCCAGGAGCAGTCATGAATGTTGCAATAACCATTGCTATGTCTAATGCGCCTTAGACAAATCATGCAAGCCAAATTCATGACAGTCTTGATTCATACCTACTACCAATATATGACTGACTGTGGATGGTTTGAATAACTTAGTCATTCTTGAAGAATGACCCAATTATTCTGGAAGTCAAAACATGCAAAGTGAAACACAAGAATAATACTAATCTTATATTGCCCCAACACTTTGAGTGTAGATAAAAACACCTTTTACCTAACCACCATATGGATTACTCATTATTCATATTTCGATTTATCAACTTTATACTTGAATTGATAATAATAGTCATGCCATGCTCCAAGCATGCCCACTATGTTTGTCCAAACAATAGTCATGCCATACATCAAGTATGCACACTATGTTTGTCTATGATCTTTACTTTGTGAAATAGATTAATTGAACATAATTCCAATGATTCTATTTCACAATCTCAAATCCTTATAGTAAATGTAAGAATGCCAAACTCTTGCCATTTACTATAATCTGTTAGATTCTAAACATATTTTCCATGATCCCTTTGGAATGACTATGCACAAAAGTCACAAAGACTTGGCAATAGACATTTATAAAGTATTCCACTGGATAGCAATTCCATGCAAACAAAGTCTTAAATTCAAAGTACATTCCTTTGAACATTCTTCTTTGCATTAAGTACTCTAATCCTATACAGATTCAAAGAATAACTTCCACCTATGGAAACATTTCCATATTCCCATTTTGACTATCACTTATGAACAAGAGTTGCCTCCTTTTCAGAATATGTCAATATGGTCCTAGCTCTATACTTCCAATTTTCCCTTACCAATCAATCTTTGGTAAACCTTAGATTATCCTCGACAATTGTTTAATCATTTTAGTCATATCTAATACTAGACCTTTTCCCCTCTCAATGCCCCAGGCATTTGGAAAATTTAGAATGGATAAATATTTTAACACATGTAATTGATCCTATACCTGAAGTGTCACACCCTGAAAACCAAGGCGGAAACATTTCCGGGGCAGACTCCACGTTGAGTATCAAATCCAATGCACATAGTAAGTAAAGTAAACAAACCATGATATTACATATGAAAATTTACATTTGTTCAAAAGTAAAGTTGTACAAGTGTGATACATATGTATATATATGAACAAAAGCAAGACGTGTCTTCGGTGTACTTCGTCTTCGACAAAAGGATCATTGGTTACCTATCTAATGCGGACTTGAGAATACAAGCATTTTAAAAATCAGCATAAAGCTGGTGAGTTCATAAGTGGTTTTGTTTTCTGAAAATGTACTAGTTTCCTTTCGATTTCTGAAAAAGTTATAACCCAAGAAAATCCCATATTTTCTTTTATGTAAAGTTTAGTTATCTGTTATGTTTCACGGTACTGGTTATGTACAATTGTTAACCCAGCAAAATCCCATATTTTCCTAAATGATGGCTACTGATCTGAAATGTAATGTGAAAGATGTATACTGAAAACCTGGTTATCCTAGTAAAGTGTATGTTAGTTCACCAATCCAAAATGTAATGTAAAAGATGTATATTGAAAATGTATTAGTTTTAACACGTATATAAAACTAATAACTACAAAGTAAACTAGTTACTTAAATCCATTATTACTAAAAAGTAAATCTCTGTTATCCAAATTACGAGTTCCATAACCATACGATAGACTAATTATGGCAATAAGTAGTGCATCACCCTTTATGACTTTCATCACCCTTGAACCTTTCGGTTCAGCTGTAGCTAGAAGCCAGGTGCGGGGTAGTCAGCCCTGTATAGATCTATACACTCAAGTCACACTCCTTATCTAAGAG